CGCTTACTTTAAGTCAGTGTGGCACTAAAAATATGCGGTAATCGATACTCATCTCCCAAGACTTTGCTTTCTTTTGCATACGGACACATCCAGACTTGTAAATATTCTGGCACCTTACATCGGGTGGGTCCCTACACTACGGAAATGCAGGGACAAGGAGAACGAGATAGAGATAGAGAGAGAGTCAGAACAAGAGAGTGAGCGAGAGATAGAGAAAGATAGAGAGAGAGACAGAGACAGAGACAGAGACAGAGATAGAGAGAGACAGACAGACAGAGAGAGAGAGAGAGAGAGAGAGAGAGAGAGAGAGAGAGAGAGAGAGAGAGAGAGAGAGAGAGAGAGAGAGAGACAGAGAGAGAGAGAGACAGAGACAGAGACAGAGACAGAGAGATAGAGAGAGAGACAGAGAGAAACAGAGAAAGAGAGAGAGAGAGAGACAGACAGAGAGAGACAGAGAAAGAGTTAGAAAAATAGAGAGAGAGTCAGTGGCAAGTTGAGATGTAGGCAGGCAGAGGCATAGACAGACAGAGAGACAAATGCGGACAGTATGGACATAGAGGGATGTGTTGGATCTGTAGCACAGTTGGACAACAGCATTGGCCTGTGAAATTTAGTCTCATGGACATACCATTTGAAGAAGTGGCTCCTATACAGAGAAGACCCAGTGACAGTAGGAGCGATATGATCAACTGGCCAACCTGGTGCAAACAACAGAACGCACAGATCAATGCTTTTTCAATGCACACCCAGGCGTGTTTAGATGAAAAAATGACAACAGCCCTTCATTAACCCATGTAGTATTAAAATACAAACGCCACATGGAAATGGCTACTATCAAGAGTACATGAAAACCAGAGTGTGCAGCTGGGATGGGTTGCCGTCACCGCTGAATTCCGTGATTACAGCCTTTTCAGCGATGTAGTGCGCACAAGCAGCATTCAAGCAGGTCTCTTTCTCCACAGCCCCAGATCAGTTGTACGCAATACGCCATGTCCTGCCTCGCCGCGCCGTGACAGACAACCATAGTAGAAAAAGCCCCAAGCTGCACACTCTGGTTGTGATGTGATCTTGCTACTATAAACTCTCATGGATTGTTGTAAGTGCAATGATGGAATTTGATGTCAAGATTGCCAAAGAAACTTGGCCAAAGCTAGCTCTCTCGACTCTGAAAGTTCACACCTTGAGTGTGTTGAAATTCTCTATAGCTTCTTGGAGAAGCGTATCCTGCAAGTTGAAGAAACTGGAATAATTCCGGAATTCGGAATATGAAGTGCCAAAGGGCCAGAGCGACTGAAACGCAGTACGCACTGGGCGTTGCAAAAAAAGGAAAGAAGAACACACACACCATACACTCATGATCAACATGTGGCTTTTCGCTTTAGTTCGCATGCCCTGACCACAAAACAGCCACTTTGTGGGAGAACCAATCATCCAAACTAACTCCTTCTACTCTAGGCCACAGCACAGTCACGCTCCCAGGCCACCAGGACAGGCAGATTGGTTCAAACTGAAGGATTGAAGATTACAAGAATGGAATGAAGGTAAACATGGTAACGGAACAACAAAGCTGAAAGGAAAAACAACTACAGAATCATCACCATGATTGCTCAAACTCGTGTCTCTTGACAACTCTCAAAACTACCTGCGCATCAAGAATACTTGACAAAATGGCGATCGCAGTTCAAGCCATTCCTGGTTGCCAAAGCAACTACATAATTCAAACTATGTATGGCGATCGCAGTTCAAGCCATTCCTGGTTGCGAAAGCAACATAATTCAAACTATGTAAACATGTGCGAGCACAAAGAATCAAGCAAATAAAGTTTCACCCACTCCGCACTGATTCGGAGCGCTGGGTCAAGAACTCAACGTCTGCTTGTAACGTTAGCTCAGCGGCAGGCGTACCTTTGTGCAGCTGGGGTTCAAAGTTGGACCATGCAGTGGATCCTAGTAGTACAAGTCAGTATTGGCAAGGCGAACCTCGGCCTCGATTTTCTAGAGCACGTACATTTACCCTCAAGATTCTGCCCGACCGAAATACTACAACAGATCGACATCATTACACTAGGGCCCGACAGAGACATCCCCTAAATCGAAGAGAGATAGCTAGAATGAGTGCGTTTGCATGTGTGTGTGTGTGTGTGTGTGTGTGTGTGCGTGTGTGTGTGTGTGTGTGTGTGTGTGTGTGTGTGTGTGTGTGTGTGTGTGTGTGTATGTGTATTATACGGCCTCAGTAGAGGTGTTTTAGTCCAATGTGGGACGTGGGATAAGCTGTCACAGAGATCAATCCCATACTCCCTTCCGTGCCAGTGGTAACTGAGTGCAGGTTCAGTCCGGCATTGCGTCATACCTGTAGTTATGGAGCAAGAAGGGATCGAGTTTGTGTATGTGTGTGTGTGTGCGTGCGTGTGTGTCTGTGTATGTGTGTGTGCGTGTGTGTGTGTGTGAGGCCAACAGTGCCTGAGGTGGGGTATTCACCGACAGGAGACTTGGTCGGATAGTTACGATGCCGACACTCTCCTCGTCGCCCCCACCTCGGAGTCCTTCGCGAGGCTTTGCAAGCCCGCGAGTGGAGCAAACTACCGCACGAAGACGACGACTTGGAACGACTCTGAGCGTTGGCTCATGGAATGTTCGCTCTGTTGTGGAGAGTGATGGACCACTTCTAGCGGCAGCCGTGAGAGGAATCGTTTCCGATGATAAGCCAGATCCATAGCTGCTGGAGATGGCTCTCTCGAACATGGTCCCGCTCGTCGTTCTATATTGTCGGCCCCGTAAGGGGACACGTGACCGTAATGGCAGTGTTTACCAGGACCAGGTGTGTGTATGTATGTGTGTGTGTGTGTGTGTGTGTGTGTGTATGTGTGTGTGTGTGTGTGTGTGTGTGTGTGTGTGTGTGTGTGTGTGTGTGTGTGTGTGTGTGTGTGTGTGTGTGTGTGTGTGTGTGTGTGTGTGTGTGTGTGGGTGGGTGTGTAGGAGGGTGGCGTGGGGCGGTCGGGGGAGGTGGGTGGCGGGGCATACAGTTAAGAATCTTCACAAGAAATTACTCACCATTGTAGTTTGAAGCAAGCAGATCCACCGTGTCACCTATGGGTGAAGGCTTTCGGCTCCAGAGGTCCAGCAATACACTTGCGCGTTCTATGATAATAATTAGATGTTTGCTAGTCCTTTGATATTCTAGAGCTAAAATAGTAAAATCGATGTTTCCTGGCTAGAGGTTCGACAAGCCGCCGATTTGGCTCAACATCGATTGAAGACGCCGACAGAGCAGGGGCTGATCAATGTCGATTGCAATATGAACAACTAACTAATGATACGAAACCTGCCAGAGGTCCGGCAAGACTATTTTCAGCCTTTTGACCGACCGGTCTGCACTCCCCCCGTACCGTGGACCCCGCTTTGCAGTCAGAAACATTTGGCTCAAAAATTGGGAGGCTTTCCGAGCTACTGCAACTAACTGTTACTTACTTTTGTAGTATCAGTGCAGAAGTTGAAGATGGAGTGGCCAGGAAAAAAATAGTGGGATGCAGCCATATGCACGCATGCATACGACATGGTTTCGATTCGGCGCCATATGCGCCATGGGCATGGGACGGGGCATTGCCATTGGCACCCGGCTGGGTACTGATTGTACCGGTACTACAGGACAGCGCTGGCAACTGAAATCCGACCCCCTGAGCGGTGCGCTCACATCGCAAAGAATGTGAACCCACCGCTCAGGGGTTCGGATTTCAGTTGCCAGCACTGTACTAATATTATAGTCAAGCTACAAGTACTGTAGCCAGTGTAGGCACAGACAGATCCTGCCGGCAATTCTTTCGGCAAAATATCGAAGAATTGAAAGAGCGGAAGTTGCCGGAAAATCGGAGCAAAATATCGAGACAGTGTTGGGTAAAATCGATGCCTGATATTGTACAATCATGTACTGTACTTGGATTTCCTTGTTTCTTACTCGTTCAGCATGATGCACTGCCCAGGAAGAGATAATGTCACCGAAGTATCACTGGGATTCACTGTGGATCGACATGATTAGGACACATGCGTGGATATCCGTGTTGAGAAACCGACTGGAAAAAATAAACGTTTTTCCGGAGCAAACTGGAGCAAAATGTCGAGTTCTTACATGACACGTGATCGTTGCCGGGGCCATGGCCAATAGGCGATCTTCCCGCCACGGGCATAATGAGGCCATCAGGACCGTTTAACGTCATTTCGGGAATGTCAGGACCGTTTGACGTATTATTATTATTATTATTATTTTATTTATTTTACTAGGGTGTTTCCCACAGACCTATACGTCTATTCGGGAATAATGTTTCGACCTTTCGTCTTTCGACCTTCCCTAATATTAAAGGGGAAGTATACCCTAAAATCAAATTTTCACCAGTTGTAGTCTTCGTGGTGCTGAGTCGAATGGTCTTGGTCCGAGGAAGCTGAGACGCTCCCTTCCTCCTCTATTCCCAATCGAACTCGCGCACTTCCACCGAAACTGGGTGACTGCGCCCTACTAGATAGGGATTTGTAAGGAAAAAGTCACTAAAAACGCCGTTTCGTTCTTATAAAAGCACGGATGACCGCGATTGGTCCATATGTTATTATTATTATTATTAAAAGTAGAAAGGAAAAGGACATATGGAAACGAGTTAAGAGTAACTCTCCACCACTGTAACTAGATACTATATACAGTCAGAAAGTGCAACAACTAGGCACAAAACTGACAGAGTACTGAGACATTCGACGTCCTGACACCTAGCTTCAACACATCTCCGTAGCGCTAACCGACAGCCTTCCAACTTGGAATTATTATTATTATTATTCTTTTATTCCACGATGGCGTGACGCCAATAAGGATGATTAATAAGTGCGATAGAACTGGTACTAGCCAGAAACAGCTAGATGGAAGTTAACCGGGAGGCAAGAAGCAATGGATCTTGAAAAACAAGCGGGGGCAATAACGTTAGCAGGGGTGATCGAGATAGTTAAGTACACGTTCGAGATATC